GGTCCCTGTGCTTTGCCAAGCTTGTTTCAAGTAGGTGCTTTAGACCACTGAGCCATCTCTCCAGCCCCCCTCTTTTCTTTTTTAAACTGGGGGAAAAGTATATATTTAGAATTAGCCAGCTGGGGGGCCAGGGAGATGGCTCAGTAGAATAAGCGCTTCCCTGGCAAGTGCAAGGCCCTGAGTTCAATCCCTGGTTCTAAAAAAAAAAAAGAACACAAGTGTGTTGTTGCCCTCAGTCTTTTTCATGGTACACTCTGTGGTCAGGGGAAAACTGATGATGGCGTAGTGGTCAAGCTTGTTTCTCCCGGGGGCGTTCTTCCAAGGGCATTTGGGCTGCCTCTGGAGCCTCAGTGTCCTGGGATGGTGGAAGGTGGGTGACGTTCATATCTTCTTTTTGTGGCTGTGGATGCCTTTCAGCATGGCCTTCTTGGCCTTTAAAGCTTTTGATTTGACTTCAGCTTTGGGAGGGGCAGGGGCTTCTTTCTTTGCCTTTGTCACTATCTTGGTAAAAAAGCCTAAGTTTCTTTCTTTTTTCCTTTTTTCTTTTTTTCCAAGTTTCCTTTATGAAAATATTTTTATTCCGGAGGCTAAAGCAGGATTGTTGTGAATTCAAGACCAGCCTGGAGGGCCGGGGAGATGGTTCAGTAGAATAAGCGCTTCCCTGGCAAGTGCAAGGGGCTGAGTTCAATCCCCTGGTACAGCCTGGGAGGGACAGCCAAATAGCTCAGTGGATTAAAGTGTCAAGCAAGCACAGGGGTCGGGGGTTCATGCCAGTCCCACCCCTGTGGCGAGCTGAGACAGCAATAGAGACTGGGCATGGTGGTGTGCACCTGTAATCCCAGCTCGTGGGTAGTGCTATTTAATTTTATAAAATATTGGGTTTAACCATGGTATTTTCATACATGCATGAAATATATTTCAATCATATTCATTCCCTCATGCCCTCATGACCTGCCTTTGTCTCCCTCCCCTGCATTTTTCAAAAATGTATTTAGTACAGGGTCTATAGGGTCTTGCTATACAGATCGGACTCGTAGTGATCCTCCTGTTTTCAGTCTCCCAAGCACTGGGATTACAGGCATGCGCCACCATGCCCAGTCTCAATTGCCATCTCAGCAAGCCCTGGAGGCAAGGCCAACATGGGGATCAAACCCCAGTCCCTGAGTCTCCCTAAGCAGGTCCTTTAATCCACTGAGCTATCTGGCTAGCCTTTTTTTTTTTTTTAAATTTTTTAGAGAGTCTTACTAAGTTGCCCAGCCTGGGCTCAAATGTAAGACCCTCCTACCTTCCAGAGTTCTGGAATTACAAGTATTGCCATCATGCCTGGCAAAATTGTGTTTGGTGTTTGTTTTTAAAGACTGCTACTCTCATTGGGTTTATATTCCAGTGAGGCAGGGTGACAATAGACACAATAACTAAGTATAGTATATAATTTCATTTTGTCAGAGGTGGCTTGAATCAGTGTCTTATGATATAGTTTATTTATTTTTTTGTAGGGGGAGGGTTTACAGGGTGTTCAGGGTCTTACTGCTAGATCAGACTCATAGTGATCTGCCTGTTTACAGCCTCCCAAGAGCCGGAATTAAAGGCGTGTGTCACACGATATAGTTTATGCTGGCCTCCAACTAGCTCTATAGCCCAAACTGGCTTTGAACTTGCTGCTTTTTTTTTTTTTTTTTTAACTTGCTGTCTTCTTGCCCAGCCTGCCAAGTGTTGACACTACAGGTATGGGCCGCCATACCTAGATGTAATTTCACTGGATTTTGTTCTCTAGAAACATGGTCTCATTATGTAGTTTGTCCCTTTATTTATTTTCGTTTTTTTGCGGTACTGCAGATTGAACTCAGGATGCTGCACTTGCCAGGCAGGTGCTTATTCTACTGAGCTATCTCCCCGGCCCCCTTTGTTTATTTAAAGGTAGGGTCTTAGGGCTGGCCAGATAGTTCAGCAGACTAAAGCTCCTGCTTAGGAAGAGCTCAGGGACTGGAGTTCAATCCCCGGCATGCCATGCCAGCCCCGCTCCTGGGGCACACTGAGATGGTGATGGAGACAGCGTGGTGGTGCTTGTCTGTAATTTCAGGGCTTGGGAGGCTGAAAACAGGAGGATCACTACAGTCTGATCTGCTTAGTGAGACCCTGTAGACCCTGTACTAAATACATAAAAATAAATAAATAAATAAATGTAGGGTCTTGGGCTGGAGAGATATCTCAGTGGTCAAAGCACCTTCCTGGTAAGCCCAAGGACCTGGGTTTGATCCCTGGTACCACATACTATGGTGGCGCATGCCTGTAATCCCAGCTCTGGGAAGGCTGAGTGAGACCCTGTACCAAATAAATAAACAAATGATTAAAGATAGGGTCTTGTTATGTAGTTCAGGCTGGCCTTGACCTCACTATGTACTGCCAGTTGGGCTCAAATTCTCAGTGATCCTCCTGCCTCAGCTTTCCCAAATTATAGGATTAGAGGTGGGCACTGCCATGCCTCGCTCTCATTCTCTCATTGTGGGTTTTTTTGTTTTTTTGTCTTTTTCAGGCATGGTCTCATTATGTAATTCAGACTGACCTTGAACTTGCACTGATCCACCTGTCTCATAGTGCTGTGATTACAGACATGCGCCCACCATGCCCTGCTATAAGCAAAGCATGTTTTCAATAATATGTGGAATATCACACACACACACACACACACACACACACACACACACACAAAGGATGGCATAAAGAGAGAGGAAGGAGGCCAGCCAGATGGTTCAGCAGACTAAAGCTCCTGCTAAGGCAGACACAGGGACTGGGGTTTTATGTAGCCTGGGCTACAATGTGAACTGGGATTACAGGCGTGCACCACCACACTTGGCAACTTGACCGATTTTAATACAAATTCAGTCCTGCTGAGTCCCACAGTCCTGGGACAACTGAGATAGTTGGTCACTCAACTATCTCAAGTCCAGTCTAAACTGCATCATAACAAGACCTTGTCTCAAAAAGACAAAAAAAAAAAAAAAAAAAAAAATACGAACACCTCTGTATCTTACATATTGTTCTGTAGTTTTTCCTTCAACAATACTTCCTGAAATCCATTTTATTTATTTATTTATTTATTTATTGGGGGGGTGGGGGGACCAGGGACTGAACTCAGGCCCTTGCGCTTGCCAGGGAAGCACTGAAACCCATTTTAGAATGTACAAAACTATGCATTAAACAACAACAACCTTTATCCTGTTGCAAATTTAATGACTCATTCAATGGTCCTCGTTGAATTTTAGATATTCTTATGAGTAGGATTGGGGGTAAAATCATTAGACATGGTTTTTCTTTTTTCTTTTCTTTTTTTTTTTTTTTTTTGCGGAGCCGGGGATTAAACTCAGGCCCTTGTGCTTGCCAGGCAAGTGCTTGCCAGGCAAGTGCTTATTCAACTGAGCCATCTCCCCAGCCCTTTCATTAGACATGTAGTAAGCACACATCAAGGATACAGATAAATATCCAACTATAGCGGCTGACCACATTTACACTCTAGTAGGGCTTAAAAGTATCTATTCTCCACATATGTTGCCAAATGATGATAAGTAACTCTCAACCGCAGCGACTACCTGCATGCGCTTGGTCACTCTCCGAACTACAACCCCCAGAAAGACCAATTCCTGAGGACTTGGGAAAGGAGCGAGGCTGCCCCCTCTACTTGTCTTGCAGGCTACAGGAGCCGCCAGACTAACTCTCCCATCAGTCAACGCGGGCGTTGTCATTTCAAGACACGGCAGAGGCGGGGCCGGCTGTGGATTGCACTTCCCGGCAGGCCGTCCGGCTCAAGGGGGCGGGACTCCATTTCCCAGCAGGCTCCAGGCGGCGGGCGCCGCGGTGCCTTGTGTGGGATGTAAGCCTGGAGGTGGGCGCGGGGGGCCAGGACTCTCCTTTGGATTTAGCGGGGCTGGCCTGGGAGCGCCTTCCTCACCGACTCTAGGGAGCCGGAGGTGTAGTCATAGGAACGAGCGGGCCGGCCTTTGGGGACCCTCAGAGAGATTTTGAGGCACACCCCCATAGGCCCGGGGGTCCTGGGTTGCAAGATACACAGAGGCCCTACCGCCTTGGCCCAGCGCGAGGGGTTGGGTGGGGCCGTCTCTCGGACGGAGGAGGGGCGGCTGAAGAGCAGAGGCTGGAGGGGGCGGGGAAGCAAGGAGTTGGGAGCAGGGTGGAACCTTAGCTGAGCTTGGGAGGGGGCTCACAGGCCTTGTTCGACCTTCCTCCTCCCCTCCCGAACCACCGAACTCCGGCTCGGTCGTAGGCCGCCGCCCGCCGCCATGGGGCTGAAGGCCGCCCAGAAGACGCTGTTCCCGCTGCGCTCCATCGACGACGTGGTGCGCCTGTTCGCTGCAGAGCTGGGCCGAGAGGAGCCGGACCTGGTGCTCCTCTCCTTGGTTCTGGGCTTTGTGGAGCATTTCCTGGCTGTCAACCGTGTCATCCCCACCAACGTGCCCGAGCTCTCCTTCCAACCCAGCCCCGCGCCCGACCCTCCCGGCGGTCTCACCTTCTTCCCGGTGGCTGACCTATCTATCATCGCTGCCCTTTATGCCCGCTTCACGGCTCAGATCCGCGGCGCTGTAGATTTGTCCCTCTACCCGCGAGAGGGAGGCGTCTCCAGCCGCGAACTGGTGAAGAAGGTCTCTGATGTTATATGGAACAGCCTCAGCCGATCCTACTTCAAGGACCGTGCCCACATTCAATCCCTCTTCAGCTTCATCACAGGTTGGAGCCTGACGGGTGGCAGGGGCAGGAATGAATCTTGGGTCACCTCTTCTCAAGATTGTGGCTACAGAGCCATTTTACTTGTACATTTTGTGAAATGGGACACATGCTTGTTTCTCCCTTTGTATTGGGGGAAACTGAGTCCAAAAGGAGAATTGATGTGCCAGTGTCAGAGAATGCAGGCTGACACTGGAACCTGGTCATTTGGCTCCAAATCTATTAGGCTACTATAACCCTAGTCCTGCAATTGAGATACTAGAGTCCTAAGCCCATCATGGGATCCAAGACATGGTAGTGGATGGAGAAGGAGGGCAAAGAGACAAAGTGGGGGGCAGGAGGACTATGTTTGGGACAATTAAATGAAACGTCTGAAAGAGTGTTTTGAAAGGAAACAGACCACAGACTTGATGTTAAGAAGCTTAAATCTCAAGGCTTGCACTGAATGTCTTTGTGCCAAGCTTAGTTGATGCAGTGGGAGTCCTGGTGCTATACTAAGTAGGAATCAGAGACTGCTTGTGAGCTTAGTGGGAAAATAGTGCGATGGTAAATGAGTCTCTTGGTGGCTGTGTGAAAAAATGTTGGCCTTGATGTTCTTTTTTGCTGTCCCACTTATAATCTAATAAGTGCAGTAAAGCAGGAAAATTCATCACTTAATAGAAATACATGATTACAGAGAAAGGTGAAGGACAGAGAGATTGGGTTGACCTGTGGGAACTCCAGAAAGGCCTTGCTGTGAACTGGGTTATAAATGGGGAGGGAGAGACTGAGCAAGGGAGATGGACAGGTTTGGCAACAGGCTTGGGGGCTATGGGAAAGGGTGTGTCCCCTCCAGGCCTGGTCCCCTTACTCCTGCTCAAAGGCCAGAGGACCTTCTTTCATTACCTACTCCTCACTCTACAGGCACTAAACTGGACAGCTCAGGTGTAGCCTTTGCGGTGGTGGGGGCCTGCCAAGCCCTGGGTCTTCGAGATGTCCACCTAGCTCTGTCTGAAGATCATGCCTGGGTAGTTTTTGGACCTAATGGGGAGCAGACAGCTGAAGTCACCTGGCATGGCAAGGGCAATGAAGACCGCCGGGGTCAGACAGTCAATGCGGGTGTGGCTGAGCGGGTATTGTATTCCTTTCCTACTTTGTCCCCTTCATATTGTGCTAGTCTGGTTATCCCAGGACGACTTCCCTGGGTCATAGTCCCCCTTTTCCATCACCAGCTACATATTTTAAGGGGGGGAAGCAGATGAGCCCTTTCCCTGTTGTCATTCCCTGAAACAAGCACTGGGTGGACGGTCATGAAATATCAGGCTTTGTCTTTTCTCTCTAAGAGCTGGCTGTACCTGAAAGGATCGTATATGCGCTGTGACCGAAAGATGGAGGTGGCATTTATGGTGTGTGCTATCAACCCTTCCATTGACCTGCACACTGACTCTCTAGAGCTGCTGCAGCTACAGCAGGTGAAGGAAGAGTGGGCCCCTGGGTCAGGTGGGAGCCAGGTCAGGCTTCTGCTATGCCTGCTGTGGGATCCTGGGCAAAGGCACCTTCCCTTCATGTGCATCTTTCCTGTAAACTGAGTAGATAATTCCTGGCCTGGCCTGGTCTTTCCCTAGGTTCTTAGGAAAATAAAATGGAGACATGAAAGAGCTTTGATCCCTTAACTGACTGGTTCCTGAATTCTAATCCTTCTTACATGGACCCCACCTCTGCTTGCTAGGTGCTGCCCTCACCCACCTGGCCTCCAATTTAAAACTTTCTTCTTTGGTTTCTAGAAGCTGCTCTGGCTGCTCTATGACCTGGGACATCTAGAAAGGTCAGTAGGGGAAAGTTGCTTGATAGGGTGAGAGAACTGGATGGCATCATGGACTTATGGTTCTTTCCCAGGTACCCCATGGCACTGGGGAACCTGGCAGATCTAGAGGAGCTGGAACCCACCCCTGGCCGGCCAGACCCGCTCACACTCTACCACAAGGTGAGGTCTTCTCAGAGGAGGCAAACGGTAGCTGAGGTCACCTTTTGGGGGACAGAAAAGGGACAAGAGAGAATTTGTGTGTTGGCGGGATTGTTACCTGTGTGCATAATCATGTAGGCGGAGCTGTTTGGGCGGGTACCCTGGGTTCTGCAGACTAGAATTAGTGGGGCTTGGGTATGTTCCCCCCCAGCCCTGCATTTTCTGTTGCCTCTTAGCCTTCTGTGTATATATAACAGGTCACATGTGAGGGCATGGGGGCGGGCACACATTAAATTGGTGGGGATTTGGGGAGGTATTTGGGTTTGCAAGTTTTTGACTTCTTTATGTAGAAGAGTGTGTGTGAAACCTGGGAAAGAGCTCTACCCTGGGATTGGAGTTTGGGCTCCAGCCTTTTGCAGAACAGCATTGTTCTGTGGGGAACTCTGCCTCTGTGGTTGGCCCCAGCCTCAGCTAGCAGCCCTGCAGGCCCAGGGAAAACACCAGGCAGAGGGGCTGGCAGGGAGGAGAGGAGGGGGTTTCCTTTTACTTCTCCTAGATGGGATCTCATGGGGCACTTGTGCCAGCCTAGGCCACAAGGGGCTGCCTCCCTGAGGCTCCTCTGCCCTCTCGCCCCCAGGGTATTGCCTCAGCCAAGACCTACTACCGAGATGAGCACATCTACCCTTACATGTACCTGGCTGGCTACCACTGTCGCAATCGCAATGTGCGTGAAGCACTGCAGGCCTGGGCAGACACGGCCACTGTCATCCAAGAGTGAGGACCCCAACTCACCCCAAAGGGCCTCCTTTCTCCAATTATTCTCATCCAGTAGTGAGACCTGGCCCTAAGCCCTGTACCCTTTCCTTTCAATCCCTGTGAAGCAACACCATCATTCAGGAGGTAGGAACCTCTGATCAGAGCCTCATGCTTTTGCCTTCCTCCGCAGTTTCTAGTCACTATATTCTTCAGGATCCTTCCACCTCATGCCCCAAACCCAGCCCACACTCTTGCTCTGGGGTGACACAGACACCATCTGAGAGGAGTGAGGACCCCAACTGCTTACCCAGGCCAGAGGAGAGAAATCTGGCCCCATCTCCCACATCTCCCTGGGGCTACCCACCATGGCTATGACCCCACAAGCCCTCATGCTCTCACAGCTACAACTACTGCCGGGAGGATGAGGAGATCTACAAGGAATTCTTTGAAGTGGCCAACGATGTCATCCCCAACCTGCTGAAGGAGGCAGCCAGCTTGCTGGAGGCAGGCGAAGAGCGGCCAGGGGAGCAGACCCAGGTAAAGAGCTGGTATGCTGCCAGTATCCACCTCCCACCTAGACAGGCCCCCACCACAGGATATGGCACTGGATATAGCACAGTCCCCCAGGATGGGGGACTGCATGGAAGGTGGTCCAGTGCCAAGGTCACTGGCGGGGGGGTTTTGCCCCTGCCCTTAGGTAAATGGGATAGAAACCCATCTCTTTAAAGGCCAGGATCCTCACTCAGACAGCATGGAGGCTTCCTTCTCTCTGACCCAGCTGGGGACTGGCTTTGGAAAAGGAAAGAGGCTCTAAGAATGCTCCTGTCCCATGCATACTTCTATGGCCAGGGCCATATGCCCTAGGTGGGGGGCCTCGCCTGTGCCTCTGCTAAAGGTTAGGAGGATCTGACCTGTGCCCTTTCCTCCCTCTGTCCAGGGAACCCAGAGCCAAGGATCTGCCCTCCAGGACCCTGAGTGCTTCGCCCACCTGCTGCGGTTCTATGATGGCATCTGCAAATGGGAGGAGGGCAGCCCCACACCTGTGCTGCATGTGGGCTGGGCCACTTTCCTTGTGCAGTCCTTGGGCCGCTTTGAGGGACAGGTGAGGGGCAAGGGCTGGGCACTACAGGTGGTAACTGGCCACAAGAGTCAAGCTCTTATAGCCAAGAAGCAGCACCTGTTCATTCTCCTTAGGTACAGATAAGACTTGAGGGCACCCCTCCCCCCATGATTGGGTGGCTATGGCAGGGCCCTGGAGTTCAAGCCAGTGACCTGCACTCTTTTTTTTCTCTGCTTGTCCCCTCAGGTGCGGCAGAAGGTGCACATAGTGAGCCGTGATTCTGAGGCAACTGAAACTGAGGAGCCCTGGGGAGAGGAATCCCGGGAAGGCCGGAGGCGGGGACCTCGTCGAGAATCCAAGCCCGAGGAACCACCACCTCCCAAGAAGCCTGCGCTGGACAAGAGCCCCAGCTCAGGCCCAGGTGTGGGTTCAGGACCCCCTCGGAAACCTGCAGGCATGGTCCCAGGCACTGTCCGGGGCCCTGAAGCTGGCAGCACAACTCAGATGCCAGTGCCGGCTGTGTCACCGCCGCCCGAAGGCCCTGTGCTCACTTTCCAGAGCGAGAAGATGAAGGGCATGAAGGAGCTGCTGGTGGCCACTAAGATCAACTCGAGCGCCATCAAGCTACAGCTTACGGCACAGTCACAAGTGCAAATGAAGAAGCAGAAAGTGTCCACGCCCAGCGACTATACTCTGTCTTTCCTCAAGCGGCAGCGCAAGGGCCTCTGAACTGTTGGGAGCTTCCTGCGGTCCTCCGAGACCCAGGCTCCGCCCTGGCCCAGCTCCACCCTTCCCTGCCGGATCCTGGTTGCTGGGTTCCCAGCCCTAGCTCCCCGGGACCGAGGGCTGTCCGGAACTCTGGGTTCCCGGTTTACAGACAGTATCACGCCTGAACCAATGATTAACTCCAGCTCAAAATCCTGGGACTGGGCTCGATTCTTAGAATGTAGATTCCACTTCTAACAATCCCAACCAACCAATTGGAACCTCACCACAGTCCAGGGTATCAATCCTGAAAGATCCAATCCCTGGAAACTCGGGCCCCACCTCGGGTCGGAATCACTAATCCTAGCAGGCTACAGTCCCACAGGGTTGCGCCCCCCTCCTAAGGGCAGAGGATTCGCCCTTAACACTAGGAGCAGTGGTACCACTTTCAGTCCGGAAACCGAAGACCCCAGGAGTACTTCTCTGTACTTAAAAATTCCATCCCTTGGGAATTGAGGAGCCTGCCCCTAAGGAGCTGAAATTTCATTGGCAGAAATTTGGAAACTAGCTTCCATTTCTTCCACCCCAGAGGTCGGGACACGAAGCCACGCCCCTTCCTGACCAAACTGGCCCCAGATCAGAGCTGGACCTCCCGACCTTGGGGAACCTCCCTGAGGGTCAGCCCGTTTCAGGGGCCCAGGAGGAAATCTGTAGGGGGCTGGGGGTGGGGAGCTGATTGCTTCCTGTTTTGTACATAGATTTATTTTTCAGTTGCGAGAAAGATGAATACATTTTGTTAAAAAAAAGTATGCGTGTTTCATCTGGGAAACGGGGTGGGGAGTGAAACGTCCATTCTTCCCTGCGTTTCTAGACTTCATGTTCACCACCTGTAGAGCGCCAGGCACCAGTGGCCGGAACGGACCCAAACTCCTCCCAGCCTCGGGGCTTCCCCGCGCCGCGGCGGGCCAGTCCCATGGGTGCCTCCTCCCAACCGAGCGCTGGGCGGCGCTGGGCGTCTCCAGGCTGGCCCCGCCCCGCGGCCTCGGCGCCACCGGTGCCCGCCCCGGCCGCACCGCCCCACCCCGCGCCGCACCGCCCAGCGCCGGCTCCACAGCTAGCGCCCGCCGGGCGCCGGGCCATGGCGCTGTTGCGGGATGTGTCGCTGCAGGATCCGCGGGACCGCTTTGAGCTGCTGCAGCGCGTAGGGGCCGGGACCTATGGCGACGTCTACAAGGTGCGCCGAGTGGCAGGACGCGCGGGAGCGCTGGGTGGAGGGTACTCGCGCCCCGCCAAGCTGCCAGCCCCCAGCTCCGCCCCCTCCTCATCCCGCTGCACCCCCTCCGTTCCTCAGGCCCGCGACACGGTCACATCTGAGCTGGCCGCCGTGAAGATCGTTAAGCTTGACCCAGGTGAGGGCCCGGGAGGGGCCTACGAGCCGGAGGGAGACAGGGCGCGGAAGGGCGCGCTGCTAGGGGCAGAGAGTTGACATTTCCAGACCCTCTGAGAGGCAAGCCCCGGAGGTATGGTAGCCTGGCACCTGTGCTTTGGGGAGGGAGGCAGTCTCATTTTGCTGATGGGGGCAGTGAGTCCTGGCCACCCCTCTTCGGTCCCTATGTGATGTCTTGTGTTCCTCAGGAGACGACATCAGCTCTCTCCAACAGGAAATCACCATCCTCCGTGAATGCCGCCACCCCAATGTGGTGGCTTACATTGGCAGCTACCTCAGGTGAGGGTGCTTTATCCTCCTGCCCTGGCAGCCCCCATGTGGTCTGCTGTGTGCCCATCCCAGCTCTGTGTCATCTCCCTACCCCAGGAATGACCGCTTGTGGATCTGCATGGAGTTCTGTGGAGGGGGGTCCCTGCAGGAAATTTACCATGGTGAGAACCACATCTCTTCCCCAATCCTCACAGGTAGGGTTAGGAGGGAAGAGTCTGGGCTGGACTTGGGCTGCTCTCCACTCCTGACTGGCTGTGTGACCTTGAGAAAAATACTGTCCTTCTCTGGGCTCAGAATCCCAGATTAGACTTGAGGAAAAATGGTTAACATTTTTCTCATCTAGCCTTGCCTATTGCTCCTCCCACACAGGGTGGCCAAGGAGGGTCACCAGATCCCCCAGGCCCCACCATCCCTCACCTTTCCATTTTAGCCACCGGGCCTCTGGAGGAACGGCAGATTGCCTATGTTTGCAGAGAGGCACTGAAGGTACCTGGTCCCATCAGATGCGCGTAGGTGGTCCCGGAGCCAGGGCCCAGAGCCAGGGGGGAGTCCCTCAGGCAGAGCTGGCCTGGGCCATGGGTCCTCAGGGAAGGGGCCCCAGCCCTATTGCCGGAAGCAGTCCATTTCCCTCTTGGCTCAGCCACATCCTGTTTGGGGAGAGGGGAGGAGGAAGCAGCTTGAGTGGGGGGCCTTAGACCTGAGGAAGGGTTCAGGAGGGGGGGGGGGCTAGTGCTAGGCAGCTGCACTCTGGAACTGCTCTCTGCCTCCAGGGTCTGCACCACTTGCATTCTCAGGGGAAGATCCACAGAGACATCAAGGTAGGTGTTGTCCAAGGGCATGGTTGGGGGCCAGAGCGGCAGTGGCCCTGGGACATTCCATAGGACTCTCTCTCCTTATTCCCACAGGGAGCCAACCTTCTCCTCACTCTCCAGGGTGATGTCAAGCTGGGTCAGTACTGGGGGATGTAGTGGGGTGAGGGCTCTGGAATTGTCAGAGAAAACATTGCCTCAAGCATGGGGTTACCTTGGAGGAGTCATTTTACCACGTGAGCATCAGTTTACCCATTTAGAAATCCTAGCTGTACTTCCTGTTGCAAGTTGGATGAGGTTGGATCTAGGTAGAATTAGACATAAGACCACACACTCAGAGACAGAAGCTGCTTGGCCCTTGAAGGAGAAGCCCCTGACCTGGGCCCTTAGGCCTGGAGCAGCTGTGGCTGCACCTGGGCTGCCCACCCATCTCTGCCTTGCCCATGCATCCTGAGCCAGTGCCCTGGTGGTAGAATGGCTAGAGGGGTCAGAGGACTAGTGAGAGCAGCTCACTTTCCCTGCAGCTGACTTTGGGGTATCAGGCGAGCTGACGGCATCCGTGGCCAAGAGGAGGTCTTTCATTGGGACTCCATACTGGTGAGGCTGTGTCTTGTGTGGTGGGGCAGCGACTATAGGTGGGACACTTGGGCATGCCCTGTGTGATGTTGTCTCTAGGATGGCTCCGGAGGTTGCAGCTGTGGAGCGCAAGGGTGGCTACAACGAGCTGTGTGATGTCTGGGCCCTGGGTATCACCGCCATTGAGCTGGCTGAGCTGCAGCCTCCTCTCTTCCACCTGCACCCCATGAGGTCAGCCTGAGACATGCTTCTGGCCTGACTCTTGTAGTGCTGACTCTTGAACCCCGACTAAGCAACTATAGCTAACCCTTGACCCCTGATTCGGTACTTCTATAGGGCCTTGATGCTCATGTCAAAGAGCAACTTCCAACCACCAAAGTTGCGAGAAAAGACACGCTGGTGAGAGCTCACTCCCCCTGCATGGGCCCCCTTTTCTCAGCTGGGGCCCTAGAGAAGGAGCTGCTTGCCAGCACTTGGATATAGCATGGAAGCCTGTTCTTCAGTTCTCTGCAGACCCTCCAAGCCAGGGGCCTAGAGCTGCCTCTGGGTGGGACTCCATGTGGATAGGAAAGAAGGGCAGGTGGCTGGCAGTGGAGGCGCTAGTGTGTTGCAACGTTGCTCAGGCTGGCTCCTTCCTGGGCGGGCCCAGAGCAGTGGTGGGGGCCCCCAGCAGCTTTCCAGCAGGAGGCCTTACCTGGGTCTGGTGGGATCTCTTGTGTCCCCCAAGGACCCAGAATTTTCACCATTTCCTCAAGCTGGCCTTGACCAAGAACCCCAAGAAAAGGCCCACAGCCGAAAAGCTTCTGCAGGTAGGAGGTAGGGCTGGCCTGGAGCTTGGTGCTTAAAAGCAGAACCTAGAAGATAGAGCCCAGCTGATTGCTCCTTGCTCCTGCAGCACCCGTTCACAACACAGCACCTCCCTCGGGCCCTCCTCACTCAGCTCCTGGACAAGGCCAGTGACCCGCACCTGGGAACCCTCTCACCTGAAGACTGTGAACTGGAGGTAAGAGTGGGTCTGGTAAGTGGTAAGGAGCTTATGGGAGACCCAGGTCTAGGTCCCTTCTCTCCCCTGAGCCTACCCAGTAGGAATCTTTCCTGAGCTGGGCCATGCTTGCCTCCTATACTTCTTTGATAGGTTCCCGCCTTTGGGAACCACGGGCTGACTGTGATCATGACTAAGCTGACTGTGACCATGACTAAGCACTCTTGCTTTTTGTGTGATCTTTGGCAAGTTATTTGATCTCTCTATGCCAGTTTTGGCATCAGTGAAATGAGGGTGCCTCGAAGAGTTGTGAAAAGTAAAACACCCTGGTGCATGTAATGCACCTAGAAGGATTCCTGATTGTGCATTGTGTGTGTGTGTTTGTGTGTGCTAGGTTTGAGCCCACTGGGTTTGTTCTTTCCCAGGCTTATGACATGTTTCCAGACACCATACACTCACGGGGGCAGCACGGCGCAGCTGAGAGGACACCCTCTGAGATCCAGTGTGAGTCTTCTGGTGGGGCCATATGTGCGTGCACGTGTCAGGAACGAGGAGGTCAGTTTTGAAGTTCTGGGTCCCTAACCTGTGTTCCTTGCCTCTGTCCCCACGTTCTCCCCCAGTTCACCAGGTGAAATTTGGTGCCCCTCGAAGGAAGGAAACAGACCCACTCAATGAGCCGGTGAGAGGTGGGCTACACACGGCGGGAGGGGTTGGGGTAGGGGCTGGGGAGTAGGTCAAGTCCCTCAAGTTAAGGTGTTTCAAAGCAGGAGCTTTCAGTACCATCTAGGGATCTGGGAGCTAGGGGCTCCTTTCAGACCTTGAAATTCTTTTTTATTTTTATTTTTATTTTTATAGGGAAGGGTCTACAGGGTGTTCAGGGTCTCTACTAGATCAGACTTGTAGTGATCCACCTATTTACAGCCTCCCAAGAGCTGGGATTACAGGCATGCACCATCACACCCAGTCTTAATTGCCGTCTCAGTGCGCCCAGGGCGGTGGGGGGCATGGTAGGACCAGGGATTGAACCCCTGGCCCCTGCGCCTGCTTGCAGGCACTTTAATCCACTGCACTATTTGGCCAGCCCTGGGGGCTCTTTTCAAAGACAGCTGGAAGGTAGCAGGGTGACCACATCTTTCTCAAGGATGAAGGTCTGTCAGGGGCTTAAGACCTCATCTACGTCCTGCCCTGCCTGT